TTGATCATAGTCTAACCGTTCTACCTCAAAGAAGAGTCCACCATTGCAACTACTAACATCCCGACTAACCACACACGACATACCCTTACCTTCTCTTCATCTTACCCAGTCCTTTCCATGTGGCACCTTTTATCAAGGCTTCCTAACCACTAACCACGAATTCCTTGCAACACCCAGACAACCTTTCACTTAAACATTAGAGACTCTTGAACCCTTGACACTTCCCACATACCGTATTCCATACCATTTTGGGGCTTTCCTTTCCTGATTCATTCACTAATGAGATATATCAAGTTTACTCAACATAGTATAACAATGAGCTATTAGTCCTCATAATCATTTAACAATTCCAGAGAGATACAATATCAATTATTATTTACGAACAACATACAATTCCACAATTATCAAGATATACAATTATGTCAAGTCAATGGTCCTCTTATGGAACCCAAACCCAATCTGTTAACATACCAGAACGTGGTACCCGATCCAATGTTTATGCTGGGATGTGGCAACAGATCCATATAATTATGCCGAAATGTGGCAACCGATCCATATAATTATGCCGGAACGTGGCAACCGATCCATATAATTATGCTGGAACATGGCAACCGATCCATATAATTATGCCGGAACGTAGCAACCGATCCATATAATTATATCGGAACATGGCAATCGATCCCAGTTAGTGTGTCAGAACGCAACACCTGATCCTTTCAACAAACCACAATCACAATCATGTATATTCTCACAATCATACAATAAGTGGTGATTCATGGTATGTAGTTCTTCATTCATACTTATTTACATTAGGTTTGATCATACTGCTTCATTCAAGTACACCCACACATCATAATGCAATAATCGTCAACATATATCACGCAACCAAGAAATCAAACCATCACCTAGCCCTAGTTCATCGTCTAAGGCTTCTTCCTAGGATTTAATCATCATTTATTCGGTGCACGAAGGTCTACCCATAAATCTTATCATTAGTTTACATTATATTACGCAGTGAGCACAGATTTATAACTACTCAATTAATAAACCTACCCTACCTGGGCGCCAAGCAATTGCACGGGGTTTTTGGCTTCGATTGTTATTTCTGGACTTCGTGACGTGATCTTGACCAGAAATCCACAATCCATCGATCTCCCTAAGCTAGAAATCTCATTCTTTTTCCTTCCCAAGCTTAGAACAACTTTTTGGGAGTTTCTAGGGTGGTTTACGTCTAAATTAGGTGTTTTAGGAAGAAGGAGAAAATAAGATTTCACATTATTTACATTCTGTTTCACCTATCCCACTCTGGTGCCAGCTTACCCCGCCATGGCACCGCCTCCCTAGCGGCATTTGGTCCACCCTGGCTGTAACACCCCATAAATATTTTGAACTAAGACTCGAACCATTCTTCGTTGTGAGTAGGATTTTACCAAGAAATTTAAAATTTCTTAAGTATTAAGGTCAGGTCACTAGATGTAGCACCTTGAGTTCCAAAAATAACTAAATTGGAAATAGCAAAATCTAAAATTTTGCAAGTTATGCTTAAGTTATGAGTTGTGGGTCAACTTTAAACGACCATAACTCTCAGTAAAGGATGAGTTAGGTGGGCTACAACATGGCTAATGTAAGGTCTTTGAATTATCTTTCCAACGTCACTGAGTTTGCAAAATTTCGAGCTCATATGAGGGAGATGTGCATGTTTGAAGTCAGGCTGTCCAATTAAGGAAAGTTACCCGAAAATATGAGGGGTATTTTGGTCTTTTCCTTATCAAATCATATTTAATTCGTTTTTCAGTAAGGTTTTAAGGTTCTAATCCTATTAGGTTCAGTTTTATAATCCTAATATATGCCTAGGGTTTAAGTTGAGAGTTCAAGAAGAGAAAAGAGGAGATGATCAAAGCGTTCGTTCAAGAAATTCAAGATTTCGTCAAGAACCTAGTTCTTTGAGGTATGTAAGCTTCCATAGTGTTGGGTTCATTCATCCATATGCCAATCATGAGTTTCTTTTGCGAATCTATCCATAAATATTGATCAATTTAATTTCTTGATAAGTGTTCTTGAAGTTTCCTTATCAATTAAGTTTTGATGTAAGATTCTACTGGGTCAACTTCAAACGACCATATCTCTTAGAATATAAAGAGTTACGTGAGACATAACCTATTAAATTAAATTATTTGAATCTACTTTCCAACAGCACAAATTTTGCATCAATCCAATTTCTGAGTAAAAAGTTATGACTATTTTAGTAACCTATACAGTGTTGTTACGAATTTAGCCGACGGGAAAACATTAAAAAGGGTTATTTTTGTATTTTTACCTCAAAGAAAACCTTAAACGAATTTCTTGACTAATAAAAGGCTCAAAACAATCAGATTTTCATCTTTTAATCCGTCATTCTCTTCTCTCACAAACCCTAGGGTAAAACCCAAAGGAAAAATTAAAGTTGAAGACTCCATTCAAGATTCTTTCGGTCTTTTTCAAGATTCTTCTTCAAGATAAGTTTTCTCCAAGAATTCCAGTACTTCTAACTCAAGTTCCTCCATACAATTATGAATCACTAATGAAAATAATAAATCTTGGTCATAGAGATTTCAAGAAACTAATTCAAGAATCACAAGAAAGGTTTTCTTGATTGTTTACCTTCAAGCTAGGGTTTCAAGGCTTCTAATCAAGTTCTTCTTCAAGAACCTTATTTTTTTCAAGTATGTAAGGCTATCATAGTGTTGGACTAGTCCGTCCTCATGCCCTACATCTACTTTCAAATCAGTAAAAGAGAAATCTAGGATTCTACTCCTAGACTTGAGTATTCCTGAGCTAAGTTGATTTTGAGTTCTTGAATTCCCGATTCTTTTAAAATGCTCTATTCCTAATTATTGAGTTTCTATATTTTTATTGAGATCCTTGAGTTGATTTGCTCATGTCTATAATTCAGTATGAACCCTATTTTGATTTATATATCTTGAGAAGTTTTCTAAGCCAACACTTGAGTTTTAAAGTGAGTTTTGAGGAAGTAAGTATGAGAATGAGAAGAGTCGTATACATGAGTTTCATAATGTTCTTTAGACCCTTGAGTCGAGTCGTTCAAGCTCATAAACTCCGCATTAACACCATACATTGAGTATCTTCGAGAGGAGTAGCATCTTCAAGTTCTAAGTCTTTGAGCATTGAGTTCCTAATCCCTTTGAGATTATATTCCTAATGATGGGACTACTACATGTTACCCATGAAGCCCTTGAGTTGAGTTGTTCATGCCCATAATTCTGCATGAACCCTATGAGTCGAGCAATCTAGAGATGAGTAGTATCATTGAGTCTTGAGTTCTGAGTACTGAGGTTCTTTATTTCTAGTAAGATTCCTAAGTTGAGTCGTTCATGTTAATAATTCCACATAAACCCTATGATTTGAGTTATAAATTTTAAAAGCTTTTTAAAGCCAACACTTGAGTTCTTAAACTGAGTTTTGAGAAAAGAGTACTTTTCTAAAACATGATTAGTATGACAATCGAGTATGCCATCAATGTATGACCAATATGCTATTTAGATATACCATCAATATTTATGCAGTA